TATCGACCTTCCTCCTTCCTTTCCCTACTCATCCTTCTCCTTCCTTCTTCTTATTCTTTCGCTCTTTCTTCTCCCTTCTTCTTATTCTTTCGCTCTTTCTTCTCCCTTCTTCTTCATCTCCAGATCTGGGTTCTCTTGTTCTTCCCTTGAGCGTATAATACTTCCTCAAAACCCCTTCCCTTGTAAACCCAGCCTTCTCCAGCACCCTCTGCGACCCAATATTGCTGACAACTCAAAATTGCTCACAATCAAAATCAAAAGAAAACAAGATGCTGCATCACTAAAATCCATTGCAGTTGTATCTTGTTGTTTCTTAGCAACCAAACAGGGCAACTAGCAAAAAAAAAAAAAAAACAAAAAACAAAGAGCAAACAACAAATCTAGTAACTGTGGAAAGAATTGGAATCAGTTTCTTGTTATGTAAATGAACGAACTTAGATGACCATCAACAAACAATGCTCTTCCTAAAGCAATGAAGGAAACGAGAATCAGAGGAAATGGCAGGCAGATCTGGGTTTGAGAAACCCAGATCTGGGTTTGAGAAAAACCCAGATCTGGAGAAGAAGAAGAAGGGAGAAGAGAGAGAGAAAGAATAAAGAGAAGAAAGAAGAAGGATGAGCAAGGAAAGTTGTGGATGCACTTGTACATCCCATCCAACTTCGCTCTATCCTTCTTGCTCTGAAGAATCTCCTTCCCAGTGACCAGCTGCAGATCTTTTCTCTTGAGCCACGGCTCGATGCTCTTATGGTGGTTGTAGAAGTTGGTCATGTCCACCACAAGATTCTTAATTACAAACATGTGGGGTAATGGTGTAATCGTCGACTCTGGCCCAAACGGTATCTTGGTGAGACACGCAAGGCCATTGCAGCCATCGATGTTCATCGCACAAGAGCCGAAAACCCAGGGAAAGACCCAGAGCTTGTGCCTTCTTCTCGTCACTCGAAGTCCTTTCCTTTTCACTACTGCAAACCCAGATCTGGGTCTTCCTCTATCAAACCCAGATCCATCTACAACACAAGAATCAGGGATTAGATTTTGCTCTACAAACTCCGAATCTTGTAACCCCATAACATGAATCGTGGCCCATATTATTTTCAACCCAAGGAAGTCCTATCATCAAGCCCCCAGGCAGACGCCAGGTCCAGAACCGAAGGACATCCGGAGAACCCCTCAACCGGAGTCCGCTCATGCGCGGAAGACACAGAACAGCTCCCGTGCGCATCCCAATCACTCTCCTGACACAGAACCAAATTATCCGTCGCGCACCGAACCGCAACTGGCTCAGAACCGCAGTTATCGCAGATCTGAGACCGCAAGTGCTTCCGCGAAAGCAGGTTCGCGGAGTGCACATGCTGGTCGCAGAACAAACAGAGCTTCGCCGAGTCAGCCCTACAGAAGAGAACCGCAATCTGGTCCTTACAGAAAATTTTGTTTATCGAGCGTCCACTCCAGATCTGGGTTTGCAGAAGAAAGGGGAAGGAAAGGTGAAGGAGAGAGAGTAAAAGGGGAAGAAGAAAATTTTTTTT